CCCCCCACCGACCCACAGACTGTACCATTGAATTCAAGCCTGGGGCAAAACTCCCGAAGCCCAGATTATACTCCATGAGCCCAAAGGAGAAGGAGAAAAAGGAAAGATTCATTAAAAAAAAACCTAGAGAGAGGTTTCATTGAGCCAGCCAAGCCTAAAGTGGCTGCCCCGGTCCTTTTTAGAGAGAAGAAGGATGGCTCTTTACGTTTATGCGTGGATTATAGGGCCCTGAATACAATCAGTGAAAGCAACCTATACCCTCTACCCCTCATGAAGGACATGCTGTCATACCTATCGAAAGGGAAAAATTTTTCTAAACTAGACCTAAGGGAAGCTTACTATGGCGTGAGAATTAAGGAAGGGGACGAATGGAAGACTGCATTTAACTGCCCCATGGGGTGCTACCAATTCAAAGTCTTGCCATTTGGATTACAAGGGGGCCCTGCAGTATTTATGCAATTAATCAATGACGTTCTAAGGGAGCACCTGTTTAAGGGGGTCCTTGTTTACTTGGACAACATTCTTATCTTCACCGAAACAAAAGAGGAACATGTCAACCTTGTCAGAGCGGTTTTAAAGAAATTGCGAGCCGCTCATCTATATGCCAAACTCTCAAAATGCGAATTCCACCAGGAAAGGATAGACTACCTAGGTTATCGCATATCCCCACAGGGCATTGAAATGGACCCAGAGAAGGTCAAAGCAGTATTAGATTTGGCACCACCCCGCACAAGAAAGCAACTACAAAGTTTCCTGGGCTTTGCAAACTTTTACCGCCAATTCATCCCCTCATTTGCCCAGATAGCCTTGCCCCTCACTAACTTACTAAAAATGAAGGGAGCATCCTCAGTAAAACCTAGCCAGCCACTAACATGGACAATGGAGTGCCAAGCAGGTTTGAGAGACTAAAGAGACTTTTTTCTGCCGAACCAGTACTAAGGCACACAGACATGGACAAGCCCTTCGTAATACAGGCAGATGCAAGTAATGTGGCAGTGGGGGCTGTTCTATTACAAGAAAATGATGATGGAGTATTGCAACCCTGTGCATATACATCCAAGAAACTCACGGAAACAGAACAGCGCTGGCCCATATGGGAGAAGGAGGCATATGGAATACGTTGGGCATTACTCATGTGGTGACAATTCCTGGAAGGCAACAAAATCCCCTTCCAGGTGTGGACTGATCACAAAAATTTGGAAGCCCTGAAAACGGCCAGGAAACTCAATCCCAAACAAGCCCGCTGGTCCCAGCATTTTCACCAGTTCCAATTTAAGCTCAAACATTTACCAGGGAGAAAGAACTTCCTGGCAGATGCACTATCTTGCATGCCTCAGTATAACAGCACACAAACCACAGACTCTAAACCAATGATGGCAGAGTCACAACTGGCAGCACCAGTAACCACAAGAACCCAAGCTAAATTAAAGCCACAACTGGAGAGCCAAACTGGAATTGAATTCAGAAAAAGTTTGGAAACAGACGAATGGTTCCAGAAAAACAAAAATGTGTGCACAATGAGAGACGGGTTGCCTTGGGTAGGGGAAAAGTTATATATACCAACAACTCAAAGAGTCATTTTCATGCAGCTTTGCCATAACACAAAATCAGCAGGGCATTTTGGATTTGTAAAAACTTTACACTTAATTAAACGACAATTTTGGTGGCCATCAATAAAAAAGGACATAGAAAGTTATGTTGCCAGCTGCCCAACATGGGCATCTGCAAAGAGGTTGCAAGGGAAATCGCCAGGGCTATTACAACCATTGGCAAATCCCTCAGCCCCCTGGAGGGAAATAGCCATGGATTTTATAATGGAATTGCCAGAAAGCAATGGGAATACTGTTATCTGGACAGTCACGGACTTGTTTTCCAAACAGGTGCACTTTATCCCTTGCCAAAAGATTCCCACTGCAAAGGCCTTAGCAAAACTTTTCATCCAGCACATTTACAGATTGCACGGAGCACCCCAACGCATCATCTCTGATAGGGGAGTGCAATTTACGTCTGCATTTTGGAAGGAATTCTTATCCCTCTTAGGGACCACTCAGGGACTGACATCTAGCCATCACCTTCAGACAGATGGACAAATGGAACGTTGTCATTCAGTACTTGAGCAATATTTGAGATGTTTTTTAAATTTCCAACAAAGTGATTGGACGGACTTACTCCCTTTTGCAGAAGTTACCTACAATAATGCAGTCCACTCCAGCACAGGCTACACTCCTTTTCAAATAGCCACCGGTCAAAGTTTCAGCCCCATGGGAGCTGAAAATAGCATCCAGCAGCCTCAAAATATCCTGTCCATATTTTACAGGGGTGCCTTGAGTGGTGAGCAAACCACATTCTTTCCACAAGGCCCCATGTACATGTAGAACACTAAAAGCAAATTTACTGTCTGTAAAGATATTAACAACTGCACCCTCTAATAATTCCAAGGCCCTTGTCAAGGCAATGAGTTCAGCTTTCTGAGCTGAGGTACCTTGCAGGGAGAGCTGCTGCTTCCACTACCTGATCCAATGTGACCACAGCATAGCCAGCTATGTCTCATAAAACTGCTGCCATCTGTATACAGGTCCCTGTCCGCTTCCTTTAATGGCTGGTCAGTTAAATCCAGTTGGCCAGAAAATACTTCTGTAATAGTCTGCACACAATCATGTTCACTATCCTGTTCCAGGGGGAAAAGTCATGATACATCACATGACATCACGTGATGTCGTGAGTTTGACATGCCTTATTTAACAGCTAAACAGCTTATGTAAAAATGTAATGTGGATGATGTAATAATAAGAATGACTCAGCAGGTGTGTGTATCCCTTTAAGAGTCTGAGTATAAAAGGGAAGGTTTTTTTGCTGGAGTCCTTCTCTCTCTCATCTGTTTGACTGTTGTAACTCCTGTGTATTGGAATTTGCTTTTTCACCACGTGTATGTATTTTATTTCTAGTGTATATTTGTAGATTGTGTAATATAAACCACATTTAATACAAACCACAGTGTACTGCATTTACTCCTGGGTTACTTCAGCACAATAAGACTATGCATGCTCTGACAACATCTATCTTTTCTTGTAATTTAAATACAGTATTATATGCACAAAAATACAGTATTATCTGCATAATTATAGAATGATAGAGAGCAGGTGTTGGCTGGAGGAAGTTTACTGCATCATTTTTTTCAGGCATTTTAGAAATAATGAACTCTCTTTGAATGTGATTGTCAAGTCACTTGCTAGCCAGAAAGTTAGGTGATACTTTGTTAAATTATATGCTAAAATCAGGATATATAATGTCTATAGCTTTCCATAATCTTTGAAGGAAATCATCAAATTATACAACACAGTTTGACAAGAGTTATTCTTGACATTTTGGATTTGGAGCAATTGTTATCCTACCAATGCCTGGCAACCATACATACCTTCACTTCAAGAAGGCCGCACAGGGAACAACCATACTTCCCTTAAACAAGAGTTCCAAAACTGGGGTTCTGATAAGGCTTTACTTTTAGATATCCTACTAACTGGTAAGACTGTGAATAGGTACTCTCAACTGCATTCAGCTTGCTAGATGGAATGCATATTAGGCAATATTTTAAGCAGTTAGTTCCTAACTTGTTTAGAAATTTAGCTTTATAGACTAATATTACTACTGCAGATAGAGCCAGGTAACTCATGGGCAACAAATGCTATGCCCTTGTGACTACTTAACAATTAGGGCCTGGATTCTGCAATTTCCACATTATTTTCAGATGTAGTCCACAAAGAATGTACTGTAGTAACACATGTGTCAGCCCAACAATGTATATGAGATTAAGAAATCAAGGTCAGAATTGCTTTTATTATAATGGCTATATTAACAAAACTTTGCAACTTTGAAAATGCTTTACTTTCTCTTTATCTTCATACAAACTAGGGAGAGGCCTCTATGAGACATTTACTCGAACCAATTTCCTGGATTGGACTCAAGTCCCTCTTAATTGACTGTTGCTTGCTGGTTGACTCTTCCTTTTTTCCTTCAAGACTTTTTCCAATTCTGTTGACATGGCAATCATCCAGGAATGAGCATTATTAGGATTCACTTAGGCTTGGTTATTACAGTTCCAGAATAGCACCAGTTGAAACTGACCACAGATGTTCCTTCCAAACTGTTCTTTTAGTAATAGACTGAAATCAAAGGGAGAGTCCAAACTAACCTAAATAACCAGCTGTGCAAGGAATCGTCATTTTATTTGAATTCAGTTTCACTTTATTGTCCTTCATCATTTCATCCAGAGAACTATCAATTACCTGCACAGCCCCACTTGATGAAGGTGGAAAAAAGAAGATATTCTCATTCAATTCCAAATTTCTTGATAACTGCGGCAAGAGCTTAATACAGATATTGAACAATAGGGGAGAAAGAACTGAGCCCTTTTAGATTGTGCCGTGTAGCTGAACAGAAATCTCTCAAAATCACTCTTTGGTGGAGATCCTACAACCAAACACACCTAAATCATTAAACTGCTGCAGTAAAATTACATTGTGACCAATAATGTCAAAGTCCTTGGAAAGTTCAAGCAGAACCATAATGTAGAAGTCACCAGGTCTCAAGGTAAAGGTCAACCATCAAGGCAACCAAGTTTTCTTTAATATTATATTCAGGCCTGAAGCCAGACTCAAACAGATTTAGATAATTAGCTTTTTCCAAACTGGATGCCACCATTCTAACACTTTGCCAGGGCATTAAAGACTAACAGAAATGAACATTTCAAGATGAATGCAAAAAGATATATGATCTAGCTTACTACAAACTACAACAATTCAAACTAAATGTTTGAAAATAATATATCCCATAAAATTACTGTTCATGTAACACTCAGTAGAACCCAAATACATCTCTTTAATAATACAATTTCTCCTTAGAATCTGATTTGTAATTGAAACAGATTTAATTCTTGCCCAGTAAGCAACCACTGAAGTTGTCCAATATACATGAATTAGTAATACATCTCAAAGCCTGCTTACCATTCTGGCATCCCACAAAGATAAAGTCTTGTCTGCAGAGCTGGTGAGAATAATATTGGAGAAAGGAAAGAACTCGATGCTGTTTACTGAATCCTTGTGGCCACGCAAGGTATACCTGCATCGTTCACTGTAAAATAATATAATTATGTATCTTGAGCAATTGTGAAATAAATTAACAAGATCAAAGGACAATATGAGTTGGCATCAACAAAACTCAAATGGACAATACAATTTCCCCCAAATATTTGTATCCTCTTTTTCAGAAATTCAATTATTTATTGAATGTTAGAAATGTTAGTTAAAGGTTCTTGAAAGATATTACATATTAATAATATACTAGCTAATACATATGTAGATAATAAACTTGATATAAACTATGTTCTTAGAAATGTAAAGTAAGAAAATTAAAAACAAATTAAAACAAACAAGCATGGCAAGGAAACAAACCAAGAGAAAGGCGCAAAAGCAGACAAAAATTAAAACAAAGACAAAAAGAAAATACAGAAAAAAACCATGAATGTACTAAATCACGGGTGTCAAACTTGCCATGTCACGTCATGTGCCGAAACTCTTTTTGCATTGCTGGCAATGGGGTAGGCACAGCTTTGATATGATGAAACTGGCCTGTGGGCCAGCAGTTTGACACCCCTGTACTAAACTCTTCAAATTTCTAAGCTCTACATTGTTCTATAGTTTTAAATTAGGAATCATATTGTTTGATTTTGTCTCTTCTTTGGTAGAGAGAGAGAGCATTCAAAAGCTGAGATTAATTAATTTTGCTACATAGGCATCTTCTAGGAATGCATAATTGCAGTCCAAGAACATCTAATATCTAACTAATAAGGAAACGACAGTGCACTAAGGTTCCTTCCATATTACACCTCCAATACAGAAGGATGACAGCCAACCTTTTCAAAACATTATTGCAGGGATTCAATATTCCCCAAATATTTTTAATTTATCCAATTTTTAAAATCACATGATATACATCTAACAATCCGGAAACCTGAAAACTATCCTGAAAACAATCCTGAATCCTAAAAACAATTCTGAAATCTTTAAAAACGGAAACGGAAAGGTTCTGTTTCCTCTTATATGCACTATGACACACTCTGCTTACTGTCATCTCTGCTCACTGAAACAAATCAAAACTTCTGCCCCAGTACTGGACTGAGGTTTATGATTGGCTTCTATTATTGTTGTTGTTGTTAATTGCGAAGTCGTGTCCGACCCATTGCGACCCCATGGACAACATTCCTCCAGGTCTTCCTGTCCTCTATCATTTTCTGGAGTCCATTTAAGTTCGCACCTACTGCTTCAGTGACTCCATCCAGCCATCTCATTCTCTGTCGTCCCCTTCTTCTATTGCCCTCAATCTTTCCCAGCATTAGGCCCTTCTCCAGTGAGTCCTTCCTTCTCATTAGGTGGCCAAAGTATTTGAGTTTCAACTTCAGGATCTGGCCTTCTAAAGAGCAGTCGGGGTTGATCTCTTCTAGGACTGACCGGTTTGAACGCCTTGCAGTCCAAGGGACTCGCAGGAGTCTTCTCCAGCACCATAGTTCAAAGGCCTCAATTCTTTGGCGCTCAGCCTTTCTTATGGTCCAACTTTCACAGCCATACATTGCAACTGGGAAAACCATGGCCTGGACTATACGCACTTTTGTTGGCAGGGTGATGTCTCTGCTTTTTAGTATACTGTCTAGATTTGCCATAGCTTTCTATTATTAGGGGTCAGCAAACTCTTTAAAGGGACAGAGCCTGCCCTTCTCAGTTTCTGCAAGCACAGTTGGCAGATTTTGCAGGCCAAAGAGTATGGAAGCCATTGGATGGCCCTGTTTTGCCAGCAAGAAGGCCACTCTTGCCCAGGTCACCCCACTCCCACCCTCATCCCAGGAACTTGGATGAGGCTCAGGCCTGGTGATTTGCTACCTGTCTACCTGTCTTCTGCTCTAATAAACAATCTATCTTAATTACAACAGCTGCTTCCAATTGAGCAACCGGTTTTTTTTCTTGATATACTTTAATGTGTAATCTTAAATAATGTTAAAATAAGTGTTGAAAGGAGCATGACGAATAACAACAACAACAATATCTCTAGAAAAAATATACAGGTAGTCTTCGACTTACAACCATTTGTTTAGTGACCATTTGATTCAGCCTTCCATCCTTCCAAGGTCAGTAAAATGAAGACCTAAGTTGTTTGGTGCCATAGGTTGACTCTGTAAACTGCTTAGAGAGGGCTGTAAAGTACTGTGAAGTGGTATATAAGTCTAAGTGCTATTGTTGTTGTTGTTTTTATGTTCCTTTTAATCTACTTGAAGATAAAACATGAAAGTCTTGTGGGATGTAACAAAATTCTGCTTGGCGGTTTGCCAAATAGAACTCTATTACAAAAATCATAGGAAGACAAAAATCAATAGTCCTTTCTTTTATTATCATATATTAATGGCTTTTATATTCATTTTACAAAATGTTATGCATTTTGTTACAACTAAAGCAATGTAATAAATCTGGGATATTGAACTGTGACCACAATAGAGTTTATTGATTAGAATAGTGTATTTAGCAAATGAAGGGAAAGCAAAAAATATACATCTTCACAGTTGGAAATATAGTGTGATGCAGATTTACAATCTTGGACTGCCAGCATGCATTCACAATGTCACCACACAATGTGGAAGAAACCTTCTATAATTTTACTAAAAAACCCTATATGAATAGACATGTTAAAGCAACTGAAAATATTTGAGGGGCTATCACAGAGAGGAGGGGGATAAAACTATGATTCAAAGCATCTGAGGGCAAGGCAAGAAATAATGGATAGAAATTTATTATAGAGAGATGCAACCTAAAATTAAAGAGAAACTTCCTGACAGTAAGAACAATTAATCAGTGGAACAGCTTTCTCCAGATCCATCACTAGAGGCTTTTAAGAAGAGACTGGGCTTCCAGTTTGCCGACGCAGCTGCCATGGATATCTGGAAGGCGAGCTCCGTCTTCTGTGTCCAGTTTCGCTTTGCTGAGGGACCCTGGAAAGGGTCAAAAGTTGCCCTGTAGGGGCGACCAGCAAGGAGAAGATCCCTGCTTGATCGCGGGAGGGTAGTAGCCCTTCCATTCAATCTGGGGTAGCCCTCCAAACCAGCAGACGAAAGACCGGCCATAACAATATGGCTCGTCACTAGGCTGCAGACAGCTTAAGTCACACTTAACACCAGGCAACTATAAAGCAGCGTGGACAAGACTGGGTGAGATCTACCTCTCTTAAATTCTACTATTTTTTTTTTATCTGCATAAGCTGCTTAAAGTACTTTCCCTCCTGTGGAGAGGGAAGGGAGATTTTATCCCTTCCTGTAGAACAGCAGTGACTGACTATCCAGGGGAGTTTAAAACATTGCAAGAATAACTTGATCCTAATAGAAATTTTATTTTTTAAAGTTTGCACAGTAGAAGATTTTCTATTCTTACTGAAGATCTGGTTTTTACTTTTAAAAAAGAAGCAAAACTGAAAAGATTATAAAAACTTTGGATTTAAAAGAAAACTTTAAATGGTAGGGGCAACATCTTGTGGCTAAACCTGATATTATAATTTGCTAATGCTTAAAAGAGACTTGGCCAGCAGCCCAGATAATAGATAAGACCTATGAAACCTTGAGACATCAGCTGTGAGAAGCCTAGCTATGTTCCATACTCAGTGACAAAAAAAATTATCTGTATTCTTTGATTGTAAAGCTTTTAACCTAATACATTACTAAGAGAATATGGATAAAGATCAGGAACAGATTGACAACTTCCTGTGGTTGAGTCAGTGCCGATGGCCACTGTTTGACAGCTGCCCGTCCCGGGAAATCGTAAAAGCTGGCAAAACAGCAACGATCAGCTGTTTTTGTGACTTGAAACTTCCCTCCCGGGCGAAGGGAGGGAGGTGAGCTTTTGCCTGGATAGAGGTAAAGCCTCGCAGCTTTCCCAGTTTTTTTTTTCTAGGAGGTGAAGTGAGAGCTTCCTCGGAGTCTGGGTGTTGCTCCGGTTCCTTGGATGCCTTTGTTCTCCGAAGAGAACGAAGCTAGACGCTGCCTCCACTGCTGCTATCTGATGGGAACAGTAAGTTAACTCAAAAGCAGACAGAGCTGTCAGGAAGAGAAGAATTGATGATTTTACTTTAAACCTAACTCAGTTTGAATTAACATCTACTCCTGTTACTATTCTAATTGGGGTGAAGAAATATGGCGGAGGAATCCTCCTTCTTTGTCATCTTCTTTGTTTGAGAACTTTTACTTTCTATTTATTACTTTCTATTTTTAAACTGGCAACAAAGTTTTAACAATGTAATAGATTTGGTTTACTTTAAAGGGGGAAAATTCTTATTCCCCCTTTTTTTTAAGGGGGAATTGTTTTTTTCTTCTCCTTTGTTTTTATATTATTATTTTTTGAAAAGGGGAAGGGGAGGGAAACCCCTCCCCCCTTTTAAAATGGCTTCAAAACATCCTGGACTTCCTTCTCTTTCTAAAACTTCAACTGCCTCTCCAGTAACTCAGACTGTACAACAACCCAAACCTAAACCTTCTCCACCTTTGCCCCCACCTCAGGCACTTACACTTCAGGACTTACAAGATGCCTTAGATAAGACTTTGGAAAAATCACTAGAAAAAACAGCAGAGCTTTTGGCTCAAGAAAGTAATGAGCTCAGGAAAGATATTGTTTTGGCACTCCAAGGGCTTGCTGGCCTTGTGGAAAAGATTGACGACAGGGTGGATGAAGTGGTTGGTAATGTTGAAATATTACAAGATAGATTAGAAAAAATAGAAGAAAATGTGGATGCCACACAGAATGATATTATAATGTCACAATACAGAGAAATGGAGTATGCTTTGAGAATAAGAGGCCTGAAGGAAAATATTCAGGAGAATTTGAGAGAAGAAATTGCAGCAGAACTGGCCTCTATTTTGGAAATTGATCCCGAGGAAATGTTGAAAGATATTGAAAAGATTTTTAGAGTTAATTCGTGGGTTGCAAAACAGAGGAAATTACCAAGAGATGTGGTGGTCTATTTTATGAGAAAATCACTTCGTAATGAAATTATACAGGCCTTCTATAAACAAAGATTTCAGATTGCAGCTCAGGATGTGATAG